TTTCCAGGTAGGGCTGAAGATATCCACTGCCTGGATGGCTGCTGCGCATCAGTGTAGACAATACTGAACTAAATAGACCAATGGGCTGACTCATACTGAGTCCGGAAGCAGTGTCCTGTGTTCCATGTGTGAACGAGGGACAGTTGGATGTCTGTAAAGAGAACTTTCTGTTTTCTACCATGAGCCCCCTCCCTGCCTCAATGTCTCTCTCTCTCTCCACCACCTTTGAGAAAGATGTAGTTCTGGCTTAGGATGCTCTATTTTATCGGGCACCTGATGACCTCCCAGTCAGTATCAGGCCAGCAATGGCTGGGTCATGTCCTGGTTAATCTCAACTGCTGGAGACTGGAGACAGAAAGACACTCATTCCTATAAACTGCAACTGGGCTGCCCATTTCCTGGTCAGTGACACTTTCACACATGTTCCTTCCTAATACCAGCTGCATATAGACCGTGCCTTTAAAAAGTCTGGAGTTGCTAAAAGATGCATCTAATTAGTCTGTTTGAAATGTTTTGGTGCCTGTTTAGTCAGTCGTATCTGAGATTCAGGCTGTGTATGCACATTCAAAGCTCAACTCTCCCCCCCCAAAAAAAATTCTGGGCACATACAGCTTGCTTATTTTCCTCTGCCCTCCCCATCCCTTGTTCCTTTTGCCATGCCTTTTTAGATTGTATATCTGAGGGCAGGGACTGTGGGTGTTTTTTTTATTGATTTGTAAGCTGCTCTATGTGCTTTTTTTTTTAAGAGTGGAGTTAAGGCCATACAGGCACTATAAATTTAAAGCACATTCCTCACCTTCACACACAAAAGAATCCTGAGAACTATATTATGTTAAGGCTGCTGGGGATTGTAGCTCTTTGGAGGGCAAACTACAGTTCCCAGAAAAGTTTGTGGGGGACATGCTTTAAAATAATGATGTATACTGTACACTGTGTCTGTCGAACCCTTTTTCTGTTTGCATTTTTTTAAAGAAGCAAATTGCACTGAAACTTGCATTATACATATCTAATAGTGTCATAAAGCAGACTGAGAGCTTCCTTTGAAAAGTTTGCTCTTCCTGGCTGGAAAAACCCTGGGCTGCTGCCAGACTCATCAAGCACATGTTCAAAATTGTGCTGCAAATAACCATTGGATTCAACATCAATCCCAGGTCAGAATGGCTGAATATATCAATTTAGGTTTCTTATTTTCCCAATGTTAATTTCAGCCCTCCACATTCTACATTGCTTTTGTGATTTCTTTCTATAAAAAGAAGCGAACAGTTTGCATGAAAATTCATCAGCATTTGAGTGTGAATTTTTGCTAATATCTTCGTATGCAATTTTGCCTAACTTACATGTTTTTGCAAAGCGATGTCCCCTAATATAATACATTTTTGTATGCTATTTTCACTAATCTAAGATTTATATGCACACATAACACTAGTATGTGATTCCGCCCACCTTGTCACTTGCCTGATAACCGCATTACAAAATTCAGAGAAGTCTGCATTTCAAAGGATGACAGTGAAGGTAGAACACAACATTAGAACTGGACAGCCCTGGATCAGGCCAATGGCCCAATCTATTCCATCACCCTGTTCTCCCAGTGGTCAGCCAAATGCCTCTGGGAAGCCCGAAAGCAGGACCTGAGTGTAGCAGGTCTCATTTTCACACAGTGCTCTGCACCTGAGCTGTGCCCCTCAGCTGACCAGTGCCAGATTTATGTATAAGCTAAACAATCTATAGCTTAAGGCCCCACTCTCTTGGGGGCCCCCAAACAATTTAAAGGAAAAAACATTTTAAAGGATGTACATTTCCAAAATATAAGATAAAAAACAAATAAAATAAAACCTACATGCAGCAACAGTGTTACGTATTGTATAGGCTCCTATGATGTAAGTAATGGGGCCTGCCTGCTAGCCAGCTCCCTAAAATATCACTGGTTTGCTCATTTCTATATATAGGGTGCCTACATTCTGCATGGACTGGTTGCATGGCAACATGTGCAAATGGCTTTAGATACCTATTAGGTCCATAAATGAGGACGCGGGTGGCGCTGTGGGTTAAACCACAGAGCCTAGGACTTGCCAATCAGAAGGTTGGCGGTTCGAATCCCCGCAATGGGGTGAGCTCCTGTTGCTCGGTCCCAGGTCCTGCCAACCTAGCAGTTCGAAAGCACGTCAAAGTGCAAGTAGATAAATAGGTACCGCTCTGGCGGGAAGGTAAACGGCATTTCCATGTGCTGCTCTGGTTCGCCAGAAGCGGCTTAGTCATGCTGGCCACATGACCAGGAAGCTGTACACCGGCTCCCTCGGCCAATAAAGCGAGATGAGCACCACAACCCCAGAGTCGGTCATGACTGGACCTAATGGTCAGGGGTCCCTTTACCTTTACCTTTAGGTCCATAAATGACCATATAGCATATATTCAACACAAAAAAGCAGCGGCAATTTATTGTTGACAAAGGATAGCTGGACATATAAAGGGCCCCATTACCTTCAGTAACTTAGGGCCTCATCTAACCTATATCTGCCCTGAATCTCACTATTCCCTTATTCATTCATGGCTAGAGACACAGTGTCTCAGAGAAAGCAATTGCCAGTGTACAAAGAGCACTGACATATCGTACGTAAATGCCTCCAGAGTCGCTGTATTCCTTCGCACTATCTCCTTCCATCCATCACATTATGTAGTGTGTCCCCCCCTTCCCCAGACCAACCTTTCACTCAGCTGCACAGCGGATAATCAAGTTGGATGGAACGTAGACAAGGCACATCCCTTCTGGTGTGTGTGGTCTTGTCACTTGGGGGTGAAGATGGGGGGTTGGAGAGGGGGGAAAGGGCAAGGTTGTATTTGTGTATCTTCTCTTTGGGTGATAACAATAACAACTCAAGGAAGGTTATTTGCTCTTGGGGAGGTGGAGGGTAGCGTGGGCCATCTCCAGACAGGGATAGATCAAGAACAGAGACATTAGCTGAGGCTAGGAGGCAGCAGCAGAGTGACCAGCAGGGAAACAGCACTTAATGACCTGTTCTCATTGGGCACCTGAGTAATCTGAAGACTTGCTAGCGGCCACACCAAGAGGTCTGCAACCAGAGAAGGAACCAAGCAAGAGGGGTGCATTGCAAAGACTCAGTGGGAGAGGCAAAGCCAGAGCAATCTAAGGTCAGGGTGATGAAAATCACCACACCAGGTGTGTAAGTGAATTCCAGAAGTTAATTAATATGCTAGGGGCTGCCACCCCTTTCCATGACTTTATTAACTACAAACCTCAAAATTTGGGACCCCCTCTAAACAGGTGCCAAAGTTTTGCAGTTGTTTAGCGGTGTTTGGCAGCAAAAACCCTGCATTTTGCTACACCCCACAAACTGAGTAATTGATACATCAAACTGGGATTCAGAGTTAACACCCCAACATCCAACACTGTCCGATTCACTGCAAACCAGCACCAAAGTTTTGCAGCCGTTTCACAGCATTTCACAGCTAAAGCCCCATGTTTTGCGGTGCCCCACAAACTGAGTAATCAACGCAAGGTTTGGGGTTCATACCCATGACCGTCAGTTTGAGTGTCAATTACTCAGTTTGTGGGGTGGTGCAAAACATGGGGTTTTCGCTGCAAAACGACTGCAAATCTTTGGCACCGGTTTGATGGGAAACCTAATTTTGGGGTCCGTAGTTAATGGAAATGAAGCTCCTTTTCACTCTGCTCACCAATGCTGCCTAACCCTTTGCCCTTCCCTGACACCTGACTAACCTCTCACGCCCTTTACGTCTCACCCACCCCATTGTCTACTCACCACAGGCCACTCCAAGCCCCTCCCATCTCAAGCCCCACCCCCTTGAAAGGAAGGAGGAGGCGCTTCCCAGAGCAGCTTGCTAAACCTCTGTGTGAAGGGGTTCCCCCATTTCTTCTAAATCTTGCTGCCGGCCTTCACTGCTCCAGCTCTCCCTCCATTAAACAGCTCATCTGGGCCGGCCTGCTATTTCTGATGCTGCAGTTGTTATGGCTATATATTGGTGGCCATGCCAACTGCAGAGCGTGACAACACATTACATTTCTATGTATATAGGAAGATATACACACACACACACACACACACACACACACACATACATACACACACGTATACATGCTGCCAAGGTGATGGGCAATTTCACAGTAATAAAATGCATGGAGACGATTAAATAAACTACATCTGAAAAACTGTATCTTGCTCCACTGCCCACCAAGGGCATTGCAACCAGCAAATGGAACCCAATTCGTTTTCTTATGATGGGGGCTTTTTCACTGGTGGTACCAATGTTGTGGAATGCCCTCCCTGCTGAAATAGAAAAGGCCACACCAGTATTGGCATTCTGCCTGCTTCTGAAGACACACCTGTTTAGGCAATCGTTCCCCTGAACTTCGACTATTGGGCTCATTGTTTTAACTGTTTTCATTGTCATTTTTATTTTATTGTATTGGATATTGCATACTTTGGTAAAGAGTACTTTAGTGCTGCAATTGAATTGTTATTGTGAATTTTAATTGTATATGGATTTCCTACTAGATTTTATAGTTGGATAATGGCTTACCGTATTTTTCGCACTATAGGACGCACTTTTTCCCCTCCAAAAATGAAGGGGAAATGTGTGTGCGTCCTATGGTGCGAATGCAGGGTTTCACTGAAGCCTGGAGAGCGAGAGGGGTCGGTGCGCACCGACCCCTCTCGCTCTCCAGGCTTCAGGAGAGCCCCAGCACCAGCCCCACAAGGTCGGGGGACAGAGGGAGGCGGAACGCCGCCATCCCGCTGTCTCCCGAAGTGGTTTGGAGGCTGACGGCGGGGAGACCCGCGCTGCGTCTCCCAGCTGTCCCTGGACTTGATGTCAAGGTGGGCGGCAGGGAGAAGAGCGCTTCTCCCGCTGCCTGCCCCCAAGCTCCGGGGACAGCGGGGAGGCGCAGCGCGTCTCCCCGCTGTCCCCGGACCTGATCGCAAGGCGGGCGGCAGGGAGAAGAGCGCTTCTCCCCGCTGCCTGCCCCCAAGCTCCGGGGACAGCTGGGAGACGCAGCGCGTCTTCCCGCTGTCCCCGGACTTGATGTCAAGGTGGGCGGCAGGGAGAAGAGCGCTTCTCCCCGCTGCCTGCCCCCCAGCGCCGGGGACGGCGGGAGACGCAGCGCGTCTCCCGCTGCCCCCGGCCCTGATCTGACGGGGGGCGGCAGGGAGAAGAGCGCTTCTCCCCGCTGCCTGCCCCCAAGCTCCGGGGACAGCGGGGAGACGCAGCGCGTCTCCCCGCTGTCCCCGGACCTGATCGCAAGGCGGGCGGCAGGGAGAAGAGCGCTTCTCCCCGCTGCCTGCCCCCAAGCTCCGGGGACAGCTGGGAGACGCAGCGCGTCTTCCCGCTGTCCCCGGACCTGATCTGAAGGCGGACTGCGGGGAGACGAGCGCTTCTCCCCGCTGCCGGCCCCACAAGCGCCTGGGGGGGAAATAATTTTTTTTTCTTTATTTCCCCCCCCAAAAACTTGATGCGTCCTATGGGCCGGTGCGTCCTATGGTGCGAAAAATACGGTAGATGCCATTTTGGCATGTAATGAAATAATAACAGTCATCGTCATCACCCATCTGGACAGATTCAGGTCTAGCATGAGACAAGGGACACTTGGGCAGATCCTAGACACACACACACATCCACATCCCCCAATGCATGGGCAGGTCCCAATAGTACTGGTACCTGGATCTATTAGCAGCCATTTGAAATCCCCACAATGTAAAGTTTCTCTAGGGCACTATATGATATTAAAACAGGGATTCATGTAGCCATACACTGGTGTGACCAGGTAAGCCAGGATCCCACTGTCATGGCAGGTAGTCCATGGTAGGAGCATTCTGCCAAGCCCCTCTCCACGACTGGAGCCAGCTTTGAACTAAATGGTAAAATTAATGAGATAGCAGAGTCAATTGCCTGTTGAAATCCATTTAGTATGCAGAGTGAGTTAGAGAGTAGACTTAACTTGTTGCAGTCACACTCATACACACATGCTTATAGGTAAGACAATAATAAAGTCATTTATGGTAGGAAATACAGAACTTGGATAGAAAAGTTCTCATTCCAATCTAACTAGCTAGTTAAGAGAGAAACAAGGCAGCCATACTTGCCCCCTTGTTGTCTCTGACCTCTCATTTTGAGGTCTAAGGGAGGAGAAGTGTGAGAAAGGGCAGGAAGTTATAACCAGGGTGCAACCTGAGAATATCCATCTAACATCACAGAGATAGAGAGGACAGCAAAAGAGCTTAAAAGAGACAAGGCTAGTCTGGGGATCTGGAAGTCCCTAACTCTATCTGTCTTCAGCCCATGTAAAACCCGTCTTCTGTAAGCTGAGCTGCATCAGACAAAAACAATAAGCCTCAAAGCGCCCGTCTTTAAAGAGGAAGGATTTCCACGCAGGGTGGATATTTCTTCAGGTCTCAGTGAAGAAACCCGAGGATGGATGTTCAACATGAATCATTCATAGAGGTTAATGTGAGCTGTCTGGATTAAAGCATACGACAAGCAGAGAGCAGGGACTGAATAATGCAAGGATGTGTTCAGAAAAACCTTTGGAGGTGTTTGCCCAGCTGTGAATCTTTCAGCAGGTCACCAAATTCATTGAATGGTGTCTGAAAGCAATGGGGGAGCGAGACACAGAGGATGAGGTATCTAGTGCAGTAGGTATCTAATGGAGCAGAAGACCACCCCAAGGAACCACAAAGAGAGGGAACAAACCATCTCTTTCCTCCCACCTACCCACCGTGGTCTTGGGAGGAATTTTGGCATCGGGACCCCTTAGCACAAGGTGGGGGAACTTATTCTGCCTAAGGGCCACATTCCCTTCTTGGAAACCTTTCAGGGGCCACATGCCAGTGGCGGGCAGGACCAGAGGCAAAAGTGGGCAAAGCAACATGGGTAAATTCAGTGGTGTAGCTGAGGGGGCGGGGGCACGGGGCACCACACCGCAGGGAGCAGCACTTACCTCAGGGCCTGCAGCACTCCCGCGCCATGTGTTTCTTCTGGGAGTGATGTGGTGGCTCGGGCACATGAAGACTCCACGCTGCTCTGAAGCAGCAGCATGGGGCTTGCATCCGCCTGCCTCCTCTCCCAGGCTCAGCCACCCTATAGCTGAGGGGGAGGTGGTGGGCGGACTGCATGCAAGCTCCGCGTTGCCTGAAACAAGTTCAAGGACACAGTCCAATTAGGCAAAAACATTCAAAGGGGGTCAAAGCAGGGGCAGGGAATTGCTGAGCTCTGGAGAGTTCTGAGGGCCACATAGAAAGGCCTGGAGGGCCACATTTGGCCCCTTGGACTGAGGTTTCCCACTCCTGCCTTACTGGGTGATGCTCAGGAAATGCACGGTTTCTCCATTGATCCACTGCCCTTCTCTTTATGTGTTTTTCTGGGTCTTTTCAGCACTAACTACCAGACAAATAGACAATAGAGGCAGCTGTCTGGGGCAGATTCCAGAGAGTTGGTGCAGTACAGTGGTGCCTCGCAAGACGAAATTAATCCGTTCCGCGAGAGTCTTCGTCTAGCGGTTTTTTCGTCTTGCGAAGCAAGCCCATTGACGGATTAGCACTATTAGCGCTATTAGCGGTTTAGCGGCTATTAAAGGCTTAAAGGCTTAGGGATTAGCTGCTAAAAGGCTATTAAAGGCTATTAAAGGCTTAGCAGATTAGATAAAGGGGGGGAAAAGCGAAAAAAAAATCTCAAGACTCGCAAGATATTTTCGCCTTGCGAAGCAAGCCCATAGGGGAATTCGTCCTGCGAAGCAACTTCAAAACGGAAAACCCTTTCGTCTAGCGGTTTTTCCGTCTTGCGAGGCATTCGTCTTGCGGGGCACCACTGTATTGTGATTGGGGTACAGACACAGGCCAGCGCTAGAGCATGTGCCTTGCTTGTGGAAAGGTCCCAAGTTCAATCCTCCAAATCTCTAGGCCACGCTGGGAAAAAGATCTCCTGCCTGAAACCCTGGAAAGCCACTGCTAGTCGCTGAAGAGCAGATGTTGTTGAGCAGCTCCCATTATCCATGAGCATTGGCTAGGGATGATGGAAGTTGTAGTCCATCAACATCTGGGGACCCAAGGCTGAAGAACAAAGGTATAGGCAACACAGAGGTGGATGGACTGATGCAACTTCTGCAGCATTTAGTGGGTAGTTTGAAAAAAAGTCATCATGAAAATTTTTCGGTATTCTAATCTGCATTTCCCCTAACGTACAGTACACCTTTTTTTGCAGTTTCCTCCAACATAATGCATTTGTCTATGCTGTTTTCCATAATATATGCATCAATGCACACTTTTACCTAATGCATGCATTGCAAAATTTGGAGGAGCGCAAAGAAGAAGGGAGGAACAGGAAATGAGGTCAGCATCCCTAAGAGGTGTCAGTCTAGCACAGGCTTCCTCAACCTCGGCCCTCCAGATGTTTTGAGACTACAGTTCCCATCATCCCTGACCACTGGTCCTGCTAGCTAAGGATCATGGGAGTTGTAGGCCTAAAACATCTGGAGGGCCAAGGTTGAGGAAGCCTGGTCTAGCATAAGAAGGAAGGTCAGCACAAGTTAGATGAGCAGGACAGTCTAGAACGATTGGAGTTCCCCTGTTCTATCTATCTTTTTCCTGTGCAAACCCGTCTCCCCCACCCTCCGAGCTCCCTGTGAAGAGGAATTGATTGTGAACCACCCTTAGATCTACAGGTATAGGGCAGTATCCATAATAATAATAATAATAATAATAATAATAATAATAATAAAATCACTCTGGGAAGGGAAGAGTGGCCTCCTTACAACCCTCAGCACCCTTAACATACTACAGTTCCCAGACTTCTCTGGGAGAAGCCATGACTCTTTAAAGTAGTACCATAGTGCTGTGAATATGGCCTTAGAATCACGGGAGGTAGAGACAGGCACAGAGGAATCTTTTGACACATCTTCTACCTGGGTGAAGCCATAGGGTAGTCATGAGTCAATGGGACTTCTTCACCCAATGAAGGCAGCAGGTATGCATGGCTTCCCCCCTGAAAGAGTTAATTCCCTGGGCAGCTTGCTAAGTAGTCAATGGCCCAATAAATTATGCCCTGGATTAATGAGCCACAATCATCATTAGTCATGGCTCATCGGCCTGCTAAACCTCCTCAGCGGAGTTTTATCTCTCTGCTTCTGTCCACTGGGCTGCCATATTTCATGCTCTGAAAACAGATGACCCCGGGGGTCACCCAAATGAAAGCCCCATTCAACAGCTCGGCAAATATCTCAGCATGAAGAAGAGAGGTTGGGGTCAAAACAACAGAGAAGATACAGTCAGCCTCTCCGCTGGGCCATGCTGGAGTAGACGCGCTCCACACGCTCAAGCGACCAGGACATGTTCCTCCCTTTTGGAATCATCCAGGGTCAGGCTGAGTCAGGGAGGATCATGGGCTTAATTAGATTATGACAACTCCCACCCCCATGCAACGTCAATGGGCTTCTGAAGCGAACTTTTTAAATAAATAAATAAATAAATGCTGCACATCTGCTCCCTGGTGGGCCACAAATCTGCTTTTATATTCTGATCTAAGATAGCAAAATCAGTTGCTTAGAAGTCAAAATATGCAAAGGCATCTCTTTCACCCATCAGCAATGAGAGTTTAGAGCAGGGTTAGCCAACATGGTGTCCTCCAGATATGATGGACTACAATTGCCGCCATCCCTACCCATTGGCCATGCTGGCTGGGGCTGATGGGAGTTGGAGTCCAACATCTGGAGAGCATCACGTGGGCTACCTTGGTTTAAAGGCGCTGTTCTCTTTGAGCCTGGCAGGCAGAAGGCTAGTAGTCACTGAAGAGGCAGAATGTCTCTGCAAGTCCCTTAGCCCTAGTTAAGCTAGTTAGGAATGATGAAAATTGTGGTCCATCCGCATCTGGGCAGCCAAGGTTGAAGAATACTGGAGTAGACAATACTGAGCTGGAAGGACCAACTCAGTATAAGGCAACTTTCTATGTTCTCCTCTAGAATGAGATGCAACATTGTCGAAGGGCTGTAGCTCAATGGAAGAACATCTGCTTTGCATGCAGAAAGCCCCAGGTTCAATGCTTGGCAACTCCAGGTAAGGCTGGGAATGTTCTTTGCCTGAAATCCTGGAGAGCCACTAATGTAGATGGGCCAATGGCCTGACTCCCTATATCCCTGCATAGCTGCAGGGTTCAAATTGGGAACTTCCAGGTGTATGTGTGTGTTTGTGTGTGCACTGCCCCATGTGGCAAACGGCAGAAATGCAGGTTTGAGTTGTCCCCAAGCCCAGGGATAGGGACAGGGATCCTGTGGACCTCCAGTTGCTGTTGCACTTGCTCTCTCATCACCCATACTCCTGCTGGTGGCAAGCTAGGGAAAGGGGGTGTCAAAGAGAGAGAGAGAAGGGGCAGCAGAGAGAGGAAGGGGTGCACCCATGGTTTTTTTTGCTCTACTCCCACCTGCTTTTGGCTCCAGTCCCTGCCACCTAAGAGAATGCAGCTCTCATCAGAAAAAAGTTCCCACCCTCCTTTAAACAACTTGCTGCCTTGTAAAGAAGCTATGGTTTTCCCAGTAGTGATGTATGGAAGTGAGAGCTGAACCATAAAGAAGGCTGATCGCCAAAGAATTGATGCTTTTGAATTATGGTGCTGGAGGAGACTCTTGAGAGTCCCATGGACTGCAAGAAGATCAAACCTCTCCATTCTGAAGGAAATCAGCCCTGAGTGCTCACTGGAAGGACAGATCCTGAAGCAGAGGCTCCAATACTTTGGCCACCTCATGAGAAGAGAAGACTCCTTGGAAAAGACCCTGATTTTGGGAAAGATGGAGGGCACAAGGAGAAGGGGATGACAGAGGATGAGATGGTTGGACTGTGTTCTCGAAACTACCAACATGAATTTGAAGAAACTGCGGGAGGCAGTGGAAGACACGACTAAACGACTAAACAACAACAAAAGAAGCATCCCATAACACCACCTAGGTGGTACAAGGTAAGTAACCATGGAGGCATGCCCATTAAGGCACTGTCCCACACACTTGTCTGCCTCAGAATCATAGAATTGTGGAGGGGGAAGTACCACCAGGGTCATCTAGTCCAACCCCCTGCAAGGCAGGGATCTTTTGCCCAACATGGGGCTCGAACCCACACCCCTGAGGTTAAAGAGTCTCATGTTCTACCAGCTGAGCTATCCTGCCTTGAGCGAGCCCTCACCTGCCTGCCTTCATACTTTTTACAGCCAGCCCAGGGAGCAACAGGACTCTCAGGACTGTCAGTTGCCATTGCAGAACACACCAGGGAGGATGATGGGGACAAAACAAGGTTGGCTTTGCCTGTCATTGACTCTGGTGCCACCTACTGTTGGGCTCCCTGCCTTCCACCCTGCCAGAGCCGACTCTCACTAGCCATCACTGGTAAGTGAAAAGGGAAGATGCAAGAACCTTCTGGTGGCCATAGCAGAAGAACCTCTAGCCTGTTCTAGCAATTCTCTTCTGAAATTCTGATGTGTATGCAACCCCCTACATGTGTAATCAACAGGATATTATGTCAAAGCAATATGAGAGCACTGTAAACACAACCAACATATATTCTTTGTTGGTTGCAGATACATTCCTGCGGAGATTTGAGAGGAAGGTATGTTATTTCAGCCACTCTAAACAGAACCTCTTGAAAAACAGTTGGGGTGTGTGTGTGTGTTCGTGAACCTGCTGTCCCCAGGCACGGTAAATCACCAGCTCCTGAGGAATGACATTTACAGGGCGGGAATGGAAAAGAGTCAGAGGGGGGAAACTCCAGCAGTTCTGTTGAAGGTATTCCAGCTAGGAGCAGGCAGGCTTGGAGAGTCTCATTTTTCAATGGCAATTTATTTGTGCATTTACTGCATGGGAAATTTTAATATAAAGCCAGAGAGAGTCTGCCATTTGGGATATATGATCCTCTGGCCCTTTCTTAATTACAGCTGTGTTGGACAGCCGGTAATGACTGCAGTACATTGCAAACAGGTGGGGCGCACGTCCCCTCTGGACGGCAGCCAACAGAGGAGGCTGCAGAAAGCCGTGGCAGATGGGCTGTGCAACGTCTCTGCTTCCCTTCCTCCCAGAGAAAAAGAGAGACGGCGGAGAAAGGAGAAATGTGAACTCAATGCAACAAAGTGTACACACACAGAGAGGAATAATTCAGTCCATCAAACAAAACTATAGATCTCTTCACAGGTTGCATGTCTGTAGAGTTGACCCACGCAGAAGGGGACGGACTGGTGGGATTCTATTTACTGGCTCTGCCCTCCTTCCCAGGTGCATTCAATGTAAGTTGTAAAATAATTATATTTTATTTACTTATGCACTTCAACTGGTGGGTCCTGCTAGTGGATCATGGCTTGATCTAAGGAGCACAACTACCTTGTAAATATACAGTTAAAGATTAAGAAGCAGGTCCCACAATGCATATTTGGCTTAAAATACCTGATTTATTGCAGTTGTATCTCACTTTGTCCTGCAAGGAGCTCTAGGTGGCTATTGACTCATGTCTGTGTTTGGAACACAGAAACCTGGTCCAGAAACTATGATAAGGGAGGGGAACCTTTTTGAGTCTTTGGGTCACATTCCCTTCTGGGTAACCTTGGGAGGGGGGCACATAATAATAATAATAATAATAATAATAATAATAATAATAATAATTTATTATTTATACCCCGCCCATCTGGCTGAGTTTCTCCAGCCACTCTGGGTGGCTCCCAATCAAGTGTTAAAAACAATACAGCGTTAAATATTAAAAACTTCCCTGAACAGGGCTGCCTTCAGATGTCTTTTAAAGATAGGATAGCTGCTTATTCCTTTGCATCTGAAGGGAGGGTGTTCCACAGGGTGGGCGCCACTACCAACAAGGCCCTCTGTCTGGTTCCCTGTAACCTCACTTCTCGCAATGAGGGAACCACCAGAAGGCCCTTGGCACTGGATCTCAGTGTCCAGGCTGAACGATGGGGGTGGAGACGCATGCCATGTTGGGGGAAGCCAGATGCACAAGTGGGTGGAGCAATAAATGTAAATTTGTTTAGTGGGTTACTTTCTGCAAAGACTCTCAGACACCTTCTCTATCCTCCATTGAGGCAGGCAAGAGGCCTTATCAGATTTCAAGGAAGGATACCAGCCAAGCAAAAGACACTCAGGGAGGGTGCAAAGCAGGGCTGGTGAGGGGGGGTGGCCTGTGTAGAAAGGGCAGGGCTGAGGAGGCTGTGGCTTGGATAGACTCCTAAGGGGCAGAAGAAGAGACCTTCAGCCCAAGGATCCCCATCCCCATCTCAAAGTCACCAAGAGGAAAGGAAGTCTTCCAGTTTGCTCAAAATGTTTCCGTCAGGCTGGATTCCATGCATAAAAATATACCCTTGGTTGCTGCTTGTATGTAGCTGATCTTTGTAAATGACTATCATGGGGACATTGTTGGAAGTTTGGATGCAACTCGGCTTGCAGAAGAGGGACTTTGCATGGGTGAAAACAGTTAAAGACCTCCAGGTTCTGAGACTATTCCTGTATCCCTAAACAGTTGGGCTGCCTTCTCTATCTCATTGTTTAGATCAGAGGTTGTCAATCTGGTCCCTACCGCCCACTAGTGGGCGTTTCAGGATTCTAGGTGGGCGGTAAGGGGTTCTACAGCACAAGATGAATCCTCCTTCCATCAAGGACTGGTGGGCGGTAAAGAAGTTTTATCATCAAGAAAGATGCATTTGTGGGATGTAGGTATAAAAAGGTTGACTACCCCTGGTTTTGGGACGCAGGTGGCGATGTGGGTTAAACCACAGAGCCTAGGGCTTGCCGATCAGAAGGTTGGTGGTTCGAATCCCCACGACGGGGTGAGCTCCCGTTGCTCGGTCCCAGCTCCTGCCAACCTAGCAGTTCGAAAGCACGTCAAAGTGCAAGTAGATAAATAGGTACCACTCCAGTGGGAAGGTAAACAGTGTTTCTGTGTGCTGCTTTGGTTCGTCAGAAGCAGGTTGGTCATGCTGGCCACATGACCCAGAAGCTGTATGCCAGCTCCCTCGGCCAGTAAAGTGAGATGAGTGCTGCAACCCCAGAGTCGTCCGCGACTGGACCTAATGGTCAGGGGTCCCTTTACCTTTACCTTTTACCCCTGGTTTAGATGTTCTCTTTAGCTGTCCTCTGTGATATCACCTTTAATTACCCTCTGAGAGAGCAAAGGAGCAAGCCTGGCTGCCGTGTTCTTCTCTAGACTAGCTAGTTAGACTAAAACGAGAAACTTTTCTATCCATGTTTTGTATTTCCTACAATGAACATATAAAATATAAAAACAACTGTGGTTTATATATTTTGCTGGTGTCGTTTTATATTTTCCTAGAAGCTGCACAGAGTGCCTGGGGCAACCCAGTCAGATGGGTGAATATTGTTGTTGTTGTTGTTGTTATTTTACCTACGGGCATCTCTGAGAGTGTGATTGCAACAGGTAAAATCTACTCCGTAACCAAGATTCACTAGTTCTGCGGCTCACTCTGCTTGCTAAAGGATTTCAATAGGAAATAGAACCCCATTATTCCAATAAATATCAATGGAGACCCCTACAGAGGGATCCAGTATTCTAACATCCAAAAAACACATGTAGGTGTGGCTTAAAGACTTGATTGCACTCTAGGAAAGAAAGTGTAGCAGTAGCATTGAATGGACTGTGATGGAGGAGTCTAAAGTTGAAGACGCCCTGGAGGTTTCAAAAATGGTGTGACCAGAAAGTAGAGTTGTGCCAAAATGACTCACTTTCATTTTTCTATTAACTCCATTGCTTCAATAAAATGAAAAATTCGCACGGTGTTCTCAGCAAATGTTGGCACCCCTCTTGGATGCTTCAGACATATTTAGAATGGTGCAATCACCAGGAAATGTTCAAAGTTTTCTCCCAAGAGAAGCCTCATGACACTTGATTGGGAGCCGCCCAGAGTGGCTGGGGAAACTCAGCCAGATGGGCAGGGTATAAATAATAAATTATTATTATTATTATTATTATTATTATTATTATTATTATTATCATGATGGAGCATCTTGATCAGGGGTCAGCAACCTTTTTCACTTATGGGCTGGTCCACTGTCCCTCAGACCATGTGGTGGGCCAGACTATATTTTGAAAAATAAATAAATGAACAAATTCCTATGCCCCACAAATAACCCAGAGATGCATTTTAAATAAAAGGACGCATTCTACTCATGTAAAAAGACGCTGATTCCAGGACCCTCTGCGGGCTGGATTGAGAAGGCAATTGGGCTGGATCCAGCCCCCGGGGCCTTAGGTTGCTTACCCCTGATCTTGATCAACCAAGCTCAAACAGATAAATCCCAGGCATACAAGATGGTGGGAAGGAAAAGAAGATTGTGACATGTTTCAGGGGGTGGAAAGGAAGCCCATTTGGGATGCTTTGGAATTTTAAAGTGTAGGCTCATATATACCGTATTTTCCCCATCTATAAGATGCCCCAATGTATAAGATGCCCCCTATTTTGGGGGACTCAGATTTAAGAAAATGGGGGTAGATGTATCCATGCATAAGACGCCCCCTAATTTTTGACATTGTTTTTTAGGATAAAAACCCTAATCTTGTACATGGAAAAATACGGTAATTGTAGGAGATGTTGGGTATAAGGCATGATGGCAGATGTTAATGGAGGTTGATTTCATCAACAGCATTATTTACAGAAATAGTAACATTCTTGATCTGACAATCTATTGAGGATTTGGGGTAATATGTATGAATACTTTATTTTATAATAATAAAAAGCAAAATAATGTGTGCATTTTATTGTTGCATTTTTTTAAAAGTTCTGCAATAAATGGTATTTATGCAAAAAGTACACACTCAAATATACAATGTTTATATAATTCCTGTCGCAAAAAGTAAAGATACTTTCCAACCTTACCTTATTAATCCAATAAACTCTTATCTTTTCGTTTTTTTTAAAAGGAGAGAGTGGGTGCATATCATCCTTATATATTTTAATACAATAACTAATAAATAAAATTCATTCCTGTATGACAGTAATGAATAAATAAGATCCAGTTCTCTACAGATTTGTATGTAGATGAAGAAGAAGAAGAAGAAGAAGAAGAAGAAGAAGAAGAAGAGGAGGAGGAGTTTGGATTTGATATCCCGCCTTTCACTCCCTTTAAGGAGTCTCAAAGCGGCTAACATTCTCCTTTCCCTTCCTCCCCAAGATGTTCTTTCCTTCATTTCCTCTCCTTGTATTATTTATGTATTTAATTTATTATTAATGACAGATGCTTTCTCAGAACATAAAATTCTCCGATCATTTTAACAAGTACAATTTTAAATGGAAAATAAGACACTAATCTGTCATAGCAAAGTAGTGAGGAAAGAAACCCTCAGCACAACGCTGAGGTTTAAAACACAAAGCACATGTCTACTCAGAAGTAAGGCCTATTTGATTTAATGGGGCTTACTCTGAGGCAAGTGAGGTTAAGAGGAGCCTTAACTATTTTTTGTTGTTGATTTACTCATATCTTGGTAACTCAGTCAGAGGCAGAGCTCTACCATTGGGTTGTGACAAACAACAACAACAACAACAACACCCCCACTGCTATTAAATGATTTCTGTACTTATTTCTTTTATTTATTACATATAATTTATTTACCACTCAATTGGAAGAAGAAGAAACACCCCAAAGCGGTTTATGTAAAGAAACAAAACAGTTCTTAAAAAAGCTACTTAAATAATAATCAAAATAATTAAACTAATTAAAACGGATGGCATTTAAAATTAAATTAAATTAAAGCAAATTAAAACAAAAAATAAATAATTTTAAAATTAAAATAATTAAAAATTTAAATTATGTCATCTGGGGGAAATCCAACCTTTTAGGTAAACTAAACAATATTATGTTAGGATTGGCTAACCACTGGGGGATTTGCCTCCTAATATTGACTTTTTAAATAAAAATATATATAGTTTAATCTAACCAACTGGCTCAGCACTACAATAAATAAATCTTTCAATAAATAAATAAAAGTATGCAAAGGGAACAGAGAGCGACTCCTTAATTTATCAGCCATTCTCACCAGGACATCTGCAGAGTACTCTTCCAAAAACTCTCTGCTCAGAACAGGACACTGCGTGTGAGATGACCTGGGCTCACATCTGCCATTTTACAAGTATCTCTGCTCATCTCATGGAGAGAAATGGGCATCTGAATCCTGAGAGGGGAGAGACCAGATGAATGCTTTTCACATGATCAGAGGACTGTCCAAGGCTAGGACAATGACCAGATCTTCTTTGCCGTAATGATGACAGCCATTTCAGACTTATCATCCCTGCACTATATTAAGGAACCGAGATTAAATTGTTGTTCATTAGGGCAACATCTGTTGGGAATCAGCCAAGAACAGTTGCTGTAAGAGAGCTGAGGGGGGGGGGGACACACAACAATTTCCCCCCTACTCTCGCTCCAGATAAAAAAAATAAAAATGCCTTTGTCCTCTGAAAAAAAAAGAAGAATCTTGCTTTCTTTCTGCTGACTATTAGGCAAGATGATGAGATTTTTTTTAAGTCTAGCTGAGGACGAGTATTAGAAGAGGGACAGAGATTGGGACTGGTTTGTGGGGAAGAAGTACATGAGATAAAGGTCTATTGATCTGGTACACAGGCTGAGACCCTATCTGCCTGCGGACTGCCTTGCCAGAGTGGTGCATGCTCTGGTTATCTCCCGCTTGGACTACTGCAATGTACTCTACGTGGGGCTACCTTTGAAGATGACTCAGAAACTACAACTAATCCAGAACGTGGCAGCTAGACTGGTGACTGGGAGCGGCCGCCGAGGCCACATAACACCAGTCTTGAAAGACCTACATTGGCTCCCAGTATGTTTCCGAGCACAATTCAAAGTGTTGGTGCTGACCTTTAAAGCCCTAAATGGCCTCAGTCCAGTATATCTGAAGGAACGTCTCCACCCCCATCGTTCTACCCGGACACTGAGGTCCAGCACCGAGGGCCTTCTAGCGGTTCCCTCACTGCGAGAAGCCAAGTTACAGGGAACCAGGCAGAGGGCCTTCTTGGTAGTGGCGCCCTCCCTGTGGACCGCCCTCCCACCAGATGTCAAAGAGAACAACAACTATGAGACTTTCAGAAGACATCTGAAGGCAGCCCTGTTTAGGGAAATTTTTAATGTTTGATGTATTACAGTATTTTAATATTTTTTTGAAAGCCGCTCAGAGTGGCTGGGGAAGCCCAGCCAGATGGGCGGGGTATAAATAATAATTTTTTATTATTACTATTACTATTATTATTATTATCCAATTATGAATGGTTCAGACCTACCTTTGCCAACCCAGTGCCTTCCAGATGTTTTGAGATGCAAGTTGGATGATGGGAATTGTAGTCAAAAATATATTGAAGGCCCCATGTTGGTGATGGCTGGTTTAATGAGAGTGAGGATGAATCAAGACTCCCACGCACCTGATCTCTCATAGTAATAGAATGAACCCACCCATTAATTCATGGAGATTTCTTGGGGGGGGGGGAGCTCAGGGAGATTTCTCAGAAATCTTTGACTATTTTATCATTCAAGTTCCTCTTGAACTGATGAAAGGGTTTGCTTCTCCTCAGGAGCACACTCTGCCAAATAGCCTTCTGAATCCTGTTGTGTATAAGCAACGTTGGATTCCTCCAGTCAGTAGAGGGCAGCGTTGAGACAAACAGATAGTCAGGGAAAACACACCTTCTGGTTTCCCACTAAGCCCCCAAGCTCCGCCCCTTTTGCTTGCTCTGTCCTGCAAGAGGCAGCCATGAAATGTGCTCCAACCATGTAGGCTTAGCATGCAACGTCATCCTTGTAAGTATGAAGAAATTGTAAGTAAAGAACCTTCTTTACCATTGGGACATCACTGTTTTATAAGCAATGTTAGTGATGTGTAGATAAGACAGAATGGGTGGTGGAGGGGCTGGATAGATCCAGCTTCCAACCTATTAGCTCTGCTATAAACTACAACCCAATCAAATTCTTTTTAAAAGCCCCAATAAATATTGTCATACGTACATGTTGAACACAACTGGACATAGTTTTCATGTTGTTCGGCAGGATTTTATCTTGCTGAAGAAAGTAATAGCTTTTACTTCTTCCAGCCCTCCTCTCTAATCCCGTTGCTTCCATATTACACAGCCATCACAGCTAGTAGCCATTGATAACCACATTCAGAGGAAGGAGGCTGGAGTTCGTTTCCTCCAGTAAACCTTCCCCCTAACCTGTTCTACTAGAACTTGGCACTCACAAGGGTAGTGGTAGCAGACTTATTTAGGTGAGTTCTTATCCAGTATACTCTCTTCCAGCAAAGGTCATGTCAGGTAAAATTTAGTTGTGGAGAAAGTAGCTTGACTAGGCCAGATACATCCAACTACAAGCAGGCTTTGTCAGGACCATGGAGAGCTCCCAATGAGCTTTGTTGGCTGTTGCTCTCCACTATATTTCTGTAAATGTAAGGATGTTGTCTCAGCAAAACACTACAGCCATCTGAAACCTCAGGAAGGGTGATAAGCAGAGGCATAACTAGATTCACTTGTGCCCTTGGTAAAGAGCTGTATCAGTGTGCCTGCCATCCCTTGCACCCTTGGTAAGGAGCTATTTTGGTGCCTCTGAAGCCGGAAGAGACAATGGACCAGAAACTCAAAAAGTTTGCTTTTTGTCGCCTTTTGCATGACCAACAGTGACTTCTGTGGTCATTGGGGTCGGGTCTGTTCTGTTCCACCTCCCCTCCTCTCTTCCTCCTCCTCTGTTCTGTGTGCAGCCATTACTCCTGTAGATCTCTTGGGAGTTTTCTGAAGGAGCTTGTTGTGGAAAGTGTATTAATTGATTAATTGACACATTGAAAGCCCCCTTGGCCAAATTAAAGATAAATTATGTATGCCACCATCACTGGAGTTAAGGTGGAGTGTTGGTGGGGGCAATATTGATCTGGGAGAAGAGAGGAACAAACAGCTGTTCCTTTGGCCAGAACTCATACCAACTAGGCTGAGCCCCTCCACATGTCCTCTTGCATTCATGAGAATTTGTGCTCAAGATGGTATGGGGGCACTTCTCTGTAACCCCCACTCTCAACCACAGAACAGTAGACAATTCTGAATGCCATTTGCTTTCTTGTGCTCATGTCCTGCTTGCAGGTTGCTCACAGGCATCTGTCTGGACTAGATGGGCTATCGGCCTGATCCAGTAGGGTCATACTCTTGGTACCTGCAAAAGTTTTTGGGGTGGATGCACTGCTTCATTTCTAATCAGTACATATGCTGAAAACCTGTAAGTCTTAATACCACAAATGTTTTGGGGTTGTTGTTTTTTGTTCCGCCCATCCAGACACCAATAATACAGTAACATTGGGGAATCATTGCAGAACAACTCATAAAGCAGCATGATGTGCAAATGGTCCAATATTCACCCTATCGTAGCATCAATGGCATGTTGCGAAATACACCCACAAAAACCCAGAAGGATCTGAAAGGGTCCATGGCATCTTGGGAAACAATAGGGCCCTACCATGGAAAAAGCAACCAGGTTACATTCTTGGTATCTATCCATGGAACATCAAAGCTCTGTCTCCTCATCTGACATGGGTCAGGATCTATGCTTTTGTCCAGGAAGAAATCTCAGCTGAGGTCCAGAGGTGTAGTAGAGAGGGAACACATGCATCGTGCTCAGATCCTGCTTGCTGGTTCCCCATCGGCATCAGGCTAGCCACTACGGAGACAGGATGCTGGACTGGATTGGCAACTGGCCTGATCCAGTGGCAGGCTCTTCTTATGTTCTTAAGCACCACTGCAGAATGATGAAGCTGTCCCTTCCAACTCTACAATTCTATGATTCAGTGATGGCTGTGTAGTGATGGTGATGATGGTGATGATGAGCAGAGGCATTATCATCTGCCAGAATGCCAGGGAAATTAGTGGACTTTCCTGCCTCTGGCAAGTGAATTAGTTTAGAGGAAGTCAGAGGAATATAATCAGATCAGAGTCTGGGCATGTCTTTCCTTTGAAGGTCCCTACTTCATGGCTAGCAAAACAATTGAGGCTTTATTGCTGACTCTCAGTCACTCTCTGGGGTTTCAGACAGGGGATGTTGCTGGCCATACTTGAAGAATGCTGGGGATTAAACCTTGGACCTTCTGCAAGCAAAGCAGACGCTCTACCACTGAACTAAACAGCCCTTCCTTTAGGCTCAGGTCCTGGGGTTTGTTGCATGGAAGAATTCAGTTACAAGGGAAAACTGTTGTGGGATGCAATGGGTTGGGTGGGATGGATCTACAAGTAATTTTCTATATAGCTGTTTTCCCCTGTGATCTGCACAGAATTGCACAGGAACCGATTTGGTGAGTTGGATCAGCTCAAGAGAGTTTTGCCAGTCTGGCTCCCTTTAAGAAAAGGTTGGCAAATGGAAAAAGTGTAGAAGACCACTGGAAGTTGGAGATGTTGCAAACTACATGCCATTTAAACTGGCAGATGTGACTGGCAAAATGAACTGGGTTCGGTTTGGGGGCTGAAATGTCTGTGACATCCTGTGTTTCAAGTGCCAAGTCTTATTTCGGGAGGCTTTTGCACCATGAATGTTGTGCTCTGACCTCATGCAAATCCAGGGTTGTGATTTGGCCCTGCAACTCCTTAAATAGGGGGTTATGCTGGTTAAGACAATACTCCCACATTTTTATTATCATATAGAGTGAAATGAAGAAATGCAAATATCACTCCAGTTCTGAGTGCAAGTGGTAAGCATCAGCAGAAATGGAAACCAAAATGACATCACCAAAGAATGAGGTATCAGGATGCTGGCCGGAGTCTTGATGTTTGCAGAACAACACAAAATCTGTGTCTAAATAAATAAATAAATAAATGTGGGGGCCTCCCACCCCTTTAAAAAGAGCTCAGTGTGGACTGAGCGGGCTCAGTAGGCATGGAATGTTGAATGTTATCTGGCAAAAGGAAAGAGAAAAGGAATGTGACAGTTATAAGAAAGCTCTTTGCTGGAAAGATGGGATAGAAACATAACGAATAGCACCATAAAGACCGGTACCCAAACTATATATATCTGAGCCTCACTAATAAGATGCAACTACCGCAAGGTGAATATACCTTTTATCAGTTTGGACTGATACGCCAGCAGGAAAGAGCGGTTCTAAGTCACTAGTGACATCCAGGTTAGACTGATGCATTGTGCTCTAAGGTAAAGGTCAAGGACCTCTGGACGGTTAAGTCCAGTCAAAGGCGATTATGGGGTTGCAGCACTCATCTCGCTTTCAGGTCGAGGGAGCCGACTTTTGTCCACAGACAGCTTTCCAGGTCATGGAGCCAACATGACTAAACCGCTTCTGGCACAATGGAACACCATGACGGAAACCAGAGTGCACAGAAATGCCATTTACCTTCCCTCCGCAGTGGTACCTATTTATCTACTTGCACTGGCGTGCTTTTGAACTGCTAGGTTGGCAGGAACTGGGAGAGAGCAACGGGAGCTCACTCCATCGTGGGGATTCGAACTGCCGACCTTCTGATCGACAAACCCAAGAGGCTCAGTGTTTAGACCACGGCTGCCTTTGAAGACAGTTCGGACACTTTGACTGGTGCAGAGTGCAGCCACCCAGTGTTGCTTGATGCGGGGGGGGGGGGCTCAGTTGCCCTTTGAGGTTGTTGCTGTTGTTTAAATATGTAATCAAGCGGCATATAAATCCTTTTCAATGAATAAACGTGAAGTAAAGGCGGAGAGAGATGGTAGCGCCTATCAGCAAACTCCTTTCCTCTCTTGTGGGACCGCTCCTTCTGCATCAACCACCGGCGGATTTATCATCTGTTAGTAAGAAAGTGCAGGGCCAGGGTGCGCAACAGACATGGCCGTCATCCGATCTGCGAGGTGCATTTCCCTAGCTCGGCTTGCCTCGCACTTCCCCTCAATGTGGTTATTGTATACGAGGGAGCCTCTTCTGCTTCCTGGAGATCGTGATGCCCGTTCCCAGTCACAGGGATAGTTTTTCACTTTTGGCTTGGGGGTCTGGCGCGTCCCATATGGAACCATTTCTCGACCTCGGTTCCATGCGGCTGAGAATTGAGCAACACACACACATACACACAGGAGAGAGAGAGAGAGAAATGCTCTCCTTGTGGTTTTCATACATGTTCCCTCTGATGAACCAGGAGAGGAAAGAGGAGGAGGGAAGCCTGCCTTGAGATTTCACAGAACTGGAGGGAAGAGGAGGTCACAAAGCAGGGGTAGGCAACCTAAGGCCCGGGGGCCGGATGTGGCCCAATCACCTTCTAAATCCGGCTTATGGGCAGTCTGGGAATCAGCGTGTTTTTACATGAGTAGAATGTGTCCTTTTATTTAAAATGCATCTCTGGGTTATTTGTGGGGCATAGGAATTGGTTTTTTTTTCCCCTTCCCAAAATATAGTCCGGCCCCCCACATGGTCTGAGGGACGGTGGACCGGCCCACAGCTGAAAAAGGTTGCTGACCCCTGTCATAAAGCGATTTCAGACAGTGTCACTGAATTGTGTGGCAAGATCCCGCCCCCCCCCACGTTTTTAGCTGTTCTTATTTTATCTGTAAGCCGCCTTGATTTCTTTCCGCAGGGCCTGTAAGACAGAGTTGTTCTGCCTGGCCTTTGGCTTGGAGCCAATTTGATTCCCTCCCCCTCTTTCTTTTTCCTTTCTCCTCCTGTGATGAGGCTGCATTTTAATATTTTATTGTTTCAATATTTTAATGCTGTATTTTAATCTTGTTTTTAAGTTGTATTCATTCAACTTGTTTTTATTATTGCTTGTTAGCCGCCCTGAGCCCGGCCTTGGCTGGGGAGGGCGGGGTATAAATAAAAATTATTATTATTATTATTATTATTATTATTATTATTATTATTAAGTCCCTGTCAGGGAAAAAGGTGGGGTATAAATAAAGGATGACAGGAAGCAGTTTGGTAGGAAAAAAGAGAGGCAGTAGTGCTTCAGAATATCAGTTGCTAGAGACTCCAGGAGGCGAGACTGCTCTTGCCCTCAAATCCTGCTTGTGGGTTTTCCATTGGGGCATCTAGTTGCCCACTGTGAGAACAGGATACTGGACTAGGTGGTGCCATTGGCTTGACCCAGCAGGCTCTTCTTATGATCTTATGTTCCTACTCCCTCCCCCCTGTCATTTCTCTCCTCCCCTCCCCCCTTCTCATCACACTTGAACTGGTGAACATTCAACAAAGTTGAATGTTCGAAGATTCGGGACAGAGAAAAGAAACAGGCTAATCCTTCCCCATGCAACATTATCAGACAAATAGGAATTCACCAATAAATAATAACTAGTGATGCGGGTGGCATTGTGGTCTAAAGCACAGAGCCTAGGGCTTTCCAATCAGAAGGTCGGTGGTTTGAATCCCCGCGACGGGGTGAGCTCCCATTGCTCGGTTCCTGCTCCTGCCAACCTAGCAGTTCGAAAGCACGTCAAAATGAAAGTAGATAAATAGGTACCGCTCTGGCGGGAAGGTAACCAGCGTTTCCGTGCGCTGCTCTGGTTTCACCAGAAGCGGCTTAGTCATGCTGGCTACATGACCTGGAAGCTGTCTGCGGACAAACGCCGACTCCTTGGCATATAGAGCGTGATGAGCACCGCAGCCCCAGAGTCATCTGCAACGGGGGACCTAGCAGTCAGGGGTACCTTTACCTTTACCTTTAGTGATGTAAAAATGAAGAAAACACAGAAAGGTAATAGTAGTGAAACAAAGAGCCAAAGAGGGACCATAAGTTGTAAAGATAATGCTCAAAATTGGGAATGTGTAGGAATTTGAAAAATGTGAATATCTGAGGAGAGTCGGAATAACCAGTGGGTGGCAACATTAGAACAGGCCTTTTTTGTGGTGGCTCCCCCATTTGTGGAATGCTCTCCCCAGGGAGGCTCACCGGGCATCTTCATTACATTTTCCTTCTCCTAGGCCTTTGTCTAATTAAACAATCTACGGCCCTTTAAACTGGAGTGGGGTATTGCTTTGTTTGTTATTGTGTTATATACTTTGGTGTTGGTTTTTTTATACTGTAAACCACCCTGAGAAGGGCGGTATATTAAATAAATAAATATTCACTTTCATAGTTTCAGTACCGTATTTTTCCATGTGTTGGAAGAGGTTTTGGACTCAAAAATCATGTCCAAAAACTGGGGTCGTTCATTACATGGATAGTGGCATGGGGGAGGGGGGAGAAGCGGCATGCCCACCAGCCAGCCGGTTGGCGGGAGCACAGCTTCCCCCGATGCCGCAGTGAGCGGGGAGCAATCTGGGGGGTGTTTCTTGCCCACAGCTGCTTGGGGGGAGAGGCTCAACAACTTTGGGCCATCTCCCCTCATTTTCTTAAAATTGAGTCCCAAAAAATAGGGGGGTGGTATCTTATACTTGGGGGCGTGTTATAGATGGAAAAATATGGTATTTTGTTTGGCATTTGCTAGAATTTGCCCTGAGCCCTCAGCGTTCTGAGGTTGCGAAGTATGGGATGTCAAACGGAGCTTAGAATTGCAATCAAGTAATCCAACCCTGTGGAGAAGAACTGGCAACCCACTCCAGTATTTTGCCTTGAACACTCCATGGACAAAAGGAGAAGCTTTGAGAAGAAATTCCAAGGCATGCTCTGGTTCATGGGGTCACGGAGAGTGGAGCATGACTGAGATGACTGAACGATGATGATGAATCCAACCCTGCCATCTGCATTGTACGTTTAAAGCCGCTTCGTACCACATTAAACAGTCATGGCTTTCCCCCCAAAGTATCCTGGGAACTGTTAAGGAAGCTGAGAATTCTTAGGAGATCCCTATGGCCCTCAGAAGAATTGATGCTTTTGAATTATAGTGCTGGAGGACACTCTTGAGAGTCCCATGGACTGCAAGAAGATCAAACACATCCATTCTGAAGGAAATCAGCCCTGAGTGCTCACTGGAAGGACAGATCGTGAAGCTGAGGCTCCAATACTTTGGCCACCTCATGAGAAGAGAAGACTCCCTGGAAAAGACCCTGATGTTGGTAAAGATGGAGGGCACAAGGAGAAGGGGACGACAGAGGACGAGATGGTTGGACAGTGTTCTCAAAGCTACCAGCATGAGTTTTACCAAACTGCGGGAGGCAGCGGAAGACAGGAGTGCCTGGCGTGCTCTGGTCCATGGGGTCACGAAGAGTTGGACACGACTAAATGACTATACAAC